GAAGGCCTGAATGTCAGGTATCGCATGGCTCACGCCCACTTTGCCACGCCCTTCACGCTTTTCGCGGCCCCACACGGGCTCCACAAACAGGCCCCAGTGGCAGGGTTCGCATGCGTGGCCACGCGCATTCTGACACACCCCTCACACGTTTCGAGGGCCCATAGGAGCCCCACAGAAGGCCCACATAGCCAGGGTTGTATGCCTTGCCACGCCCATCTTGGCACAACCCTCACACGTGCCATCGCCCCGCAGGGGTCTCTACATGATGCCCGGTGGCAGTGTTCGCATGCGGACTCGGGTCCATGTCGGCACATTCGTCAAACGTTTCGGGGCCCCAGCATGAGCTCCACCGAAGGCCACAGCGGCAGCGGCCACAGGAGTGACCACGCCCAATCTTGCACAACCCTTAAACGTTTCGTGGCCCCATATGGAGCTCCACAGAAGGCGCCAGTGGCAGCGTCCCCGTGCGGACTCGGGTCCATCATGGCACACCCATCCCATGCTTCGGGGTTTCATAGGGAGCTCCACCGAAGGCCCCAGCGGCAACGCCCGCATGCGTACTCGGGTCCATGTCGGCACACCCCTCACACGTTCCGTGGCCCCATAGGGAGCTCCACCGAAGGCCCCAGCAGCAGCGCCCGCGTGCGGACTCGGGCCAAAATTTACGCACCCCTCACACCTTTCGTGGCCCTGTCGGACTTTGTGGAAGACCCCAGTTCGAGACCCACCGAAGGCCCCAGTGGCAGCGCCCGCATGGCTCGAATTGCAGCAGAAGCCGTATCGTTTGCTACTTGTAGTATGATCGCCCCTCGCCTTCGTGTCACCTGCCTGGCGGTGTTCGCAGCTGATTACGGTTGGGTCCTTCGTCAGGCTAGTTTTGTTTGGGGGGTCATTTGAGGTTGTGATACCCAATGCTCTCTGCTTTTGGTGTGTCTGTGTCTCGCTTAGCGCGTTGTTGGAGCTCTGTTTGGGCTCTCCTTGTCTTCAGGCTCTTTGGGCTCCGCTTGGCTCTGTCTTGGGCGATCTTTGAGCCGTGTTGAGGCCTCAGAAGCCCATAGCATAGGACACGAAAAAGGGGGCAATCCCAATCATCGAACACGCTTTGTTTTTTGAAAGATATGACCCTCCTGGGGGACTCTTGAGGGCTGTCTTTGACTATATTGGCTGGCTTGGGGATTTATTGGGGCCTTCGGGGCTCTCGTGGGGGCATACTGTGCCTGTCACTGACGGATTCTCAGTTTTTTGCCGTTCTGGGGCACTATGGAAGCAAGCTCTCTGGGGCCTCTCCTGGGCCGCTCTTGTGAGTCTTCCGAGCTCTCTTGGAGCTCTTCCAGTCCCACACCTTGCGACCATCTCGGGCGATGCTGGAGCCGTCCTGAGGCCCGGGAAGCTCGTAGGAAGCAACACCTCAAGATTCTCAGGATTTCGTAAGAATTTGGGCCTGCCGGGGGCCTCTTGGGGGCTATCTTGGGCTACATTGCACCCGTGGGCCTCTGTCGGGCTCTCTCGAAGCTCTCTCGGGCCGCTCCCGGAGCCCTCGTGGATTTCTTCCAGCCCCCGCTGAGGGCTATCTTAGATGATGTCGAAGCCAGCTTGAGGGGAGGAGGAGGAGGAGGAGGAGGAGGAGGAGGAGGAGGAGGAGGAGGAGGAGGAGGAGGAGGACGGAGGAGGCGGAGGATGGGGGAGGAGGAGGAGGAGGACGGGAGGAGGGAGGAGGAGGAGGAGGAGAGGAGGAGGAGGGAGGAGGAGTGAGGAGGAGGAGGTGGATGGTAGGTAGGAGGAGGAGGAGGAGGAGGAGGAGGAGGAGGATCGGAGAGAGGGGAGGAGAGGGAGGAGGGGGAAGAAGGGGGAGCGGGAGGAAGAGGAGGAGAAAGAGGAGGAGGAGGAGGAGGAGGAGGAGGAGGAGGAGGAGGAGGAGGAGGAGGAGGAGGAGGAGGAGGAGAAGGAGGATCTTAGATGATGTCGAAACCAGCTTGAGGCCCGAGAATCCCATGGAAAACAAAAATGGAAGACAAAGTTGAATTTTTCATGGTTTTTGGAGCGATTCGGGCCTCCTGCTGGCCTTTTTAGGGCCTGTCTTGAGCCACCTCGGGGCCATCTCAGGGCCATCTTGGTGCCTGCCACCAATAGATTCCGCTCCTGGGCCGCTCTTGGGCTTTCTTGGAGCTCTCTGGGGCCTCTTCCGGACCGTCCTTGAGGAGTATTCGGAGACCTGGAGCACTCGCGGCCCCCACTGGAGGCCATCTCAGGTGTTATTGAAGCCATCTTGAGGCCCGAGAAGACCATAGGAAGCAAGAAGGGGAGAGAGCAGACATACTCGAAAAGTTAGGGTTGTTGAGCGATTCGGGCCTCCTGTGGGCCTCTTGGGGTCTGTCTTCCATCATCTAAGGCCGCCTCACGGATATCTTGGGGCCGCTTGAGGCTGTCTTGTGGCCATCTTGTCGATTCCGCTCCTGCGCCGCCGTTGGGTTCTCTGGGAGCTCTCTTGTGCCTCTCCCAGGGCGTTTTTGGGAGTCTTCGGGACCCTCTTGGAGCTTGTCCGGGCCCCACTTGGAGTCATCTTGGGCGATCGCGGAGCCATCTTGAGGCTTGGGAAGCCCAGGTCATTTACAAATCTTGGACATTGAATGTTTTTGCCTCCTGGGGGCTTGGGGCGCTGACTGGGGCCATTTTGGGCCACCTCGGGGTTGGCCCAGGGCCTGCCACACACTGCTTCCCGTTCCCAGGCTGCTCTCGGGGTTCCTCAGAGCTCCCTTTGGGCGATCCTGGGGCCGTCTTGGGGGTCCTGAGGGCCGCGCCCCAAAACATCATCCTGGCGAAGGGCCCAGGCATGTTCAGTTGTTAGTATCCATCGCGGTTGTGAGTACGTATCGTCTTCGGTGGAGCTCCCTGTGGGGCAATGAAACATGTGAGGTGCCTCTGGGGCCTTCGGTGGAGCTCCCTGTCACGAAACGTGTGAGTGTATGCCGAATCGGTCGTGGCGCCCACGTGTGGACGGTGCCTCTGGGGCCTCAGGTGGGCCTCCTTGTGGGGCCACGCAATGTGCGAGGGATTCGCCGAAACGGGTGTGACGCCACCATGTAGAATGCCTCTGGGGCCTTCGGTGGAGCTCCTCATGGGGCCACGAAACGTGTGAGGACTGTGCCGAAAGGAGTGACGCCGCCATGTGGACGGTGCCTCTGGGGCCTTCGGTGGAGCTCCCTATGGGGCCACGAGACTTGTGAAGGGTGTGCCGAAACGGGTGTGACGCCACCATGTGGACTGCCTCTGGGCCCTTCGGTGGAGCTCCCTGTGGGGCCACGGAGCGTGTGAGGGGTGTGCCGAGATGGACATGCGGAGGACAGATGCAGGGATGGGAGGAGGGAGGAGGTGGGAGGTGAGGAGGCGGGGCACTGTTTGTTCAAAACGAGGACCCAACAACATCCGAATTTCCCGTGATCCTGCCGTGATCCTGCCAGCTCCTTGTCAGGTCCTTTTCGGGCCATTTTTTGTCCAGGGACCCGTAGAGGTCACCCAGGTAAAAATATTCAGAACACCTGACCGGAGATATTAGCACGCTTTTGTCCCGTTGGGCTGGCGATGTATGCAAGCAGTGATTCCAATGTTGACACCCGAAAAGTGATCTGGTGCAACCAGTGTGGTGCAACGCAAGGCAATGCGACGCAAAATGACGCAAAGCAGTTTGAATCAACGCAAAGTCAGTGGGACGGCAATGCAAAGCAAGACAAAGCAATGCAGAGCAGCGTGCTGCAACGGGCTGGCAGCGGGGTGGCAACGGGGCCCGCAGCGGGGAGGCAGCGGGGCGTCACCGTGACGGCAATGGGGCGGCAGCGGGGATGCAACGGGGTGGCAACTAAGCAGAAATTCAGAGGTGGCGCCCGTTTCGGAGACAAGCATGACCCCATTTGTGCAAGCTTTGTTTGGGGAACGGAGGGTGAGGAATACGAGGAGGAGGAGGAGGAAACGGAGAAGGAGGAAGACGAAAGTCACGAGGAGCAGTCAGATGATGCTGATGATGATGCTCATGCTGATGATGTTGTTGATGATGATGAAGATGATGAAGGTGATGCTGATGATGATGCTGATGCTGATGCTGATGATGATGATGATGATGATGATGATGACGGTGGTGATATGGTTTTTGGTGGTGATGATGATGATGATGGCCATTGTGATGATGGTAGGGCTGGCGGTGGTGTTGATGATGATGCTGATGCTACTGGTGATGATGATGATGATGATGATGATGATGGTCATGATGACGGTGACGATGATGTTGATGATGATGTTGATGATGATGTTGATGATGATGATAATGGTGATGATGATGATGATGATGATAATGATGACGATGCTGAATTTGATGCTGCTGCTGCTGCTGATGATTCTGATGACGATGATGATGAGGATGATGATGGTGATTGTTGCGGTGACGATGAAGACGATGACGATGGCGATGATGATGATGATGATGATGATGATGATGATGCTGATGCTGATGATGGTGATGATGATGCTGTTGATGATGATAATGATGATGATGATATGATGGTGATGATGCTGATGATGATGATGCTGATGATGATGGCGATATTGTTGTTGTTGTTGATGATGATGATGATGATGATGGTGGTGGTGCTCCTGCTGCTGCTGCTGATGATGATGATGATGCTGCTGTTGTTGTTGTTGATGTTGAGGATGATGAGGATGAGGATGGTGATGATGATCAATAAGTGAGCGAGTGAGTGAGTGGGTGATTGTGAGTGGGTGAGCGAGTGAGTGAGTGAGTGAGAGAATGGGGCGAATTAGTGAATTCATGAATTCATGAATGATGCTGTTTTTGATCATGCTGGTGATCACGAGGAGGAGGAGGAGGAGGAGGAGGAGGAGGAGGAGGAGGATGATAAGGAGGAGGATGAGGAGGAGCCACACGAGAAAGGATGAGTTGCTCCCTCCTTCATCTCTTTCTCCCCCCTCTTCCTGTCCCTGCCCCTCTTGAGGTGGGCTCGCCGCCGCCTTCAGCGCCGCCCCTGGCAGGACGTCGTGGGGCCTCCGCCCCGGCCGCTCGTGGCGGCGGCACCGACCCAGAGCAAGAGCAAGAGCATGATGACGATGATGATGATGATGACGATGATGATGATGATGATGATGATGATGATGATGATGATGATGATGATGATGATGATGATGATGACGATGATGATGATGACGATGACGATGATGATGATGATGATGATGCTGATGCTGATTATGCTGACGCTGATGCTGATGCTGATGCTGATGCTGCTGCTGCTGATGATGATGATGCTATGGTTGTTGTGGTTGTTTTTGTTTTGTTGTTCATGCTGATAATGATGATGATACGGCGATGCTGACGGTGATGGCGATGATGACGATGAGTGGGTAATGGTAATGATGATTGGGACGATCAGCTGGATCAGCAAGATGAGGGGCATGGGGGATTTGAAGGAGCAGGATGAGGCCAAGGACTTCGCGATGTAGGCTGTGGAGGACAAGCTGTAGCGGGAGGTGAAGGTGGAGGGTGTGGAGGTGGTATTTTTAGTGGTTGGGGAGCGAGAAAGGTGGAAGATGTGAAAGAGCACGTGGTGGTGGAGGAATATGTAAATTGTGTGGGGGAGCATCTCTTTGATGTGGGTATAGCTATGAGGCTGGCCCGGACGCTGTTGGCCAGAGAATAGCCGATGCACGTCATTGATGGACCAGTGAATTGCCATTCCCAAACATCGGCGTCACCATACATGCAGGCATACTCGGCGCTGTAGCCCATATCCAGGTTGTCCCGTACGTCCTGGTGGAATAGCCACCGTAGGTAGTCTGAGCCGTCAGTGTCGATCGGCCGTCCACGCACACCAAGTACGACGCGATCCCGCGAACTGCAGTGGCGATTCCATTTTTGAAGACGGTGCCACTATCCGCGCAAGCATGGAAGCTCACGGAGGCGATGTAGTAACCACTGGCAACGGGGCCAGCTGTGTGTTGGTGCTGCGGCGCGAATGTCTCGACTCAGCTCTGTGAGGCGTCGAGCTGGGTGACGTCCAGCTGCGTTGTCTGGGGGTGTAGCACATTAGGGGGGAGTTAGCGTGGGCCACGACAATTGCTCACTCATGTCTGGCTGCATGACCTGCACTCGGTGCTTCCCTCGGGAACCTTTTTCTGGTGCAACAGTCGCGGCTGGACATAATCCACAACTTCCCTGCCATCCCAGAGATCGGAGGCGCCGACAATACTCGTTGTGGCCGTCAGCAGGGCGTCGTCGGCGTCGCCCGTAATGAGTGCGGTGACCTGAATGTCCGCTTCACCTAGCGCTGCCACCGACATCCAATGGACAGAACGCGAGGAATCAACCAACGATATATTGCGAAGGCCTGACGGCCGGTGCCGCCGACCCTGAAGGGGGTCGACGACGACAGCGGCGGCGGCGGCGTCGACGTGGGCAAGAGAAATGCTTGGGGTCTCTTCGCAAGGCTCTCGGGGGCCTCTTGGGAGCCTCTTGGGGCCTCTTGGGAGCCTCTTGGGGCCTCTTCGGGCTTCCAGGGGACCTCTTGTGGGCCTCTTGAGGCCTCTTGGGGGCCTCTTGGGGCCTCCTGGGAGCCTCTCGGGGCCGAGGGCTCGAAATGTCCGTTCGGGTCCCCGGCTGTGCACGCTCTTGGAGCCGTCTTGGGGGCCTCTTGCGCCGTCTTGGAGGCGTTGTGGATTTTGGGGTCCTCTTGTGCTCTTTTCGTGTCCTCTGGGAGGCCTCTTGGGCCATTTTGGGGCGATCTTGGGGTCCTCTTGGGCTGTCTTGGAGCGTCGGGGAGCAGAAACGGCGAGAACGCCCAAATCTTGAAAGCCAAAGGCAAATCAATTGATTTCGCCTCGTGGGGTCCTTCTCGGGAGAGCTCTTGGAGGCTCCTTCGGACGTCTTGGCGGCCTCCTGGGCAGTCAGGAGGGCGTGAAGGCGTTTGGACCAATAGTTTGGCGATTGGTGGCCCTCTAGGACCGTCAGGCGATTGGTGGCCCTCTCGGACCGTCTCAGGGGCCTGTTGGAGCATTCTTGGCCTGTCTTGGTATTTTCTGAGGCCCCGGGACCCCCAGGGGGCGATGCGTATCTGACCGCCTCCCCCCGGCCCCCCCCCTACCCCTCCTGACCCCCCCCCGACAGGGGAGGTATCAAAGGGAAGGGGCTTCCCTTCGACTCGATTACGACGTTTCTAAATTTTCTCTCGCTGACAGGCTTCAGCAGGAGGAGATTGCAGGGAAAGGGGACGACGGAGACGACGACTGACGAAGACGACGACTCAAGCAGGCAAGCCCCTCACACACGCCGACAGGGTCTGCGGATTTTCTCTGCAGCTGTTTGGGCCTAGTATCCAAGGTAAGCGAAGCGCACCCAGGGTGTGCGAAGCGTCCGCTTGTCTGATCGGAACAGGCGACTCATTTCGCCGCCATTGTGCACCACAGCCAGTGAGGTTAGCGGGTTGAGCCGCATGCGGTGGTTCTGAAGGCCCGCGTGCTGGTGGTGGTGAGAAGCTGTTGAGAGTGCATTGCTCGCGTAGCTCGTCCGTTGCCGTTTTGGCTCAAGGACGCACCGCGTTGCACTCTCCCCTTTCGCTTCTGTTCGAGGCTGTGCAAGGTGGCAGCAGAGTGGGTAAACGTACACCCTCTGACTGCATCTGGCCGCCGTGATGGAGCCCACGGAGAGCGAAGGCTGCGGCTGGGTCCACATCGCGCAGGCGATGGCGTGGGCGGACGTCGATGCGGCTGTCGTCGATGCCTTATACGGCGCCTTGGGTTGCGGCGGGGACTCCCCCATCGCCCTGCTGGGGCGCCTCCCCGCAGCTTACCTGGAAAATACAGTTTAGGAGCTGCGTTCTGGGGAGCCTCTGACAGAGGTCAAGGTCATCCAGAAGAACGCGATCCGGGTGGCCGCTAAGGCTGCTCGAATCCACATCGGCGCAGAGCAGCCCTCGGCGCCACGGCTGGCGAGTTGGCGGCAGAAGGTCAGGCCAGCCAGTAGGTGGTCACGAATGCGGTTGAAGCGGCCAGCAAGGCGGCTGTATTTGCTGCGGCGGCGGCGTCGGCCATCGTCGAGTCGCAGCGCGCGCAGTGCGCCACAGCTGACAACATGGACCTGTCCCAGATCACGAACCAGACGGCCCGCGGCAAGGTGGTCCTCATCGGCATTGAGGAGGAGGCGGAGTTCTACAACCGCTACCAGAAGGTTTCTGGGAGGTTCCCGCCACGCGGCCGGGAGCTCACCCGGGAACAGATGTTTGGCTTCCGGATGATCATCAAGTCCAGCGCCGCCCCTCGATTTCGGGATGTGGGGGCCGAATCACCACCAGCTCATCTGGAAGATGCGCTTCAGCGGCTACATGCTCATCCGCGGAGGTGGGTTCAAGGACGTCGAGATCCTAGGGTCGCCGGACTTCCACATGTGTTCCGTGTCGTGCGACCTCACCGTCGCCGCCTTCGTCGGCTATGACGAGGCGGATATCGGCGTGTTGGATGAGTGCCGGCGAAAAATCAATGATGATCGGGACATCTACGGCCCGTGTGGGTGGAGCCTGATCAATCAGGCAGATTTTCGATGCCGCCCAGAGCACTGCGAGGCGGTGCGCCGGCAACTCCAGCTCGACTGGGACAATTTGCGGCACCTCCCCGTGGAGTTCGACCCCATCGCCCACGGAACGCGGTCTTCCAGATGGTAACCGTCAAGGAGGACAAGTTCTGGAAGGACGAACTCGAGCTTCATGCGGCCTCTCTGCTCCGCGGCCCCCTTGCCGTGGTCGAGGGAGATGCCCTGGTTGCAGCCCGCCGCGGCGACTGCGGCGGGGGGTCGGCAAGCGGCCGGCCCGACGTCAAGAAGCGGTCGCCGCCGCCGCCGCCGCCGCCCGGCGCATCTCGATCGCCGCCGAAGCGGACCCGACAGGGCCGGGAGTACAGGGTGTCCGACGACGCCAGGTTCACCGCCAACCGCCGTGGGACTCCGCTGTGCGAGGAATTCCAGGCGGGCGCCTGCCCGTCGAAGCCCAGGTTGGCGATCTGTCCTAACGACGTCGCCATGGCGGCGAGGCCTGCCGTCAGATGCCCCATGCGCCGCCCAAGCTCAGAGGGGGCAAGGGCGGCGGTCGCGGCGGCCGCGGCGGCCGCTCCTGACAATTCGAGGAGCTGGCGGGGCTGCCGGCGGAGCTGGTTATGACGGCGGCGGGGTCGGAGCCGCCTTCCGTTCGGTCCCCGGGGAGGTTCCGGTTCCATGTCCATTGTACCTTTGCAAGAACAGCACCAAGACGATCGACCCGCGGGCGCAGTCCAAACCCGTTTGGCGGTGGCTACTTTGTCCAGGGCCTCCTACAACGGCGTCATGAATGGTCTCGACGCTCGCGGCATGAGGCTCATCTACGCCAGCAGCGGCAAGCGCGGGCTCCCTTACGGGGTCGACTCGTTCATCGAGCGGGCCGGGGGCACCGTTGACATGTCTGACATCGTGAACGAGGCGCGGCGTCACGACGTCTGTGAGGACATTGTCTTCGAGGGCATCGTCGCCGACGTAAAGGATGGGAAATGCAGCGGTGGCATCTTCTCCCCGGCGGATTGCACCTTCGCGCCAGGTCGTCGGGGCGAGCGTGGCCGCGGCTCTTTTCGCGGCGCCGCTGTTCCTGATATCTACGAGGTTGCTCATCTTCGCCTGGCAGACAATGACAGGGTCAGAGCGGGCGCGCTGCTGGCGCTGCGCTGCGGCGTTTTGGCGAAGGAATTCCAGGGCGCGGGCGCGACATGGGGATGTGAGACTCTCGCGCCCATTCTGGGCAGCCCATGTGTGTTTGGCTTGCCAGAGACCGCTGCTCTGTGCGATCTCCCAGGAGCCCGCGCGAAGTCACTCGTCCACTGCCTCGTGGGTTCGCGCGCGTCGAGGCCGACGTTGGTCATGGGGGCCCTGCGGCCGGGGGGGCTGCGTGCGAGTGCTCGCGTGGGCCTCCGTGCGGCCACTCTGAGGCAGACGGGGCCGATGCGTGCCCGCAAGGCCTCGGCGCTCG